ACTAGATAGCCTCATAGGTGGCTAATATGGAGCTTTGTCCAAATTCTGGATGATTTAAAAGTTGAGCTAGGAATTCGGCAACAAAGAGTTTAATTCCAACCAGGATGTAGTAGGCTCTTCTGGTTTAGAGAAATGACATCATAGTTTTAATGTTCTTTACAGCATTCTGACCACCATAAGTGATGTGGCCTTTGCTACCTTATCTGTTAAATGAAAACTCATGCTCAGGTTTAAACCATGCTATATTCTTTAGTAATAATCTCAACAAATTTGTAGTCTCCTTTGTCAATCTTTTCCCTAATTCCTATGAGTATTCAAGAAATGAAAATTGACTGTAAGATCAATAAACAGGCACAAAAATTGTATTATATTTTCTCTAAAAACTTACATAGGACAGTGAATCAGTAATATTTTTAATCAGAATTTTGAAAATAGTATTTCCCTCATTAATAGTCAATAATAAAATATTAATAGTTATTAAAATATTGCAAAGTCCATAGGAATGGTAGTAAAGAGCAAACTCAAGTTATTTAATTGCTTTACCATTTTAAATTAATTGGCTACAATCCACAGAATCTTATGACTATGTAGCAAATGTGTTTTCCTTCTAGCTCACCCCCCTATGCCATGGCAAATCCTTTTCTAGAAATCTTTGAGCTTTAGAGCTGGCTGTTGGTGGAGGGAATACAAGAGGTTTTAGTAGAAGAAAAACTGAAAAATAACTCAGTGTATGTAGTTGGGGTGCAGATTTCTAGAATCTGGTTAAGCATAAAAATATTAAACATATTTTACTCATGCTAGATCTATACTTATTTTTCTGTTAAAACTGTTGTTTTGTTCTTTGCTTAATCTGGAGTCCAAAAAGCTATAAACCATTTCAGACATAGTTGTCTGTCTCATAACCAATAATATGACGACTTTGGAATTCTGAAAATATAAGCTGTGAATTAAGTTGGTTATAGATAACCTGGATAAAAAGCATTGACTGAAGTTAGTGACTAGAAATGCATGTTTTATTCTAAATACTTATTGAATTCAAATTAATCTTGTCAGTTACCTTTTTTTATAGTAGCTGCTATGTGTGCTCTATAGCAGGGAAGATAACTCTCCCTTCAAGTCAGATGCAGTTCCTGAAATCTGCAACTGTGTAGTTAAATGTCAGCAGCATGTTTTCTTATCATTTGGAGAAAAAAACAAATGGAAATTATGTTTCCTAAATTAGGTATAACACTTTTTTTTTTAAAAAAAAGAGACACTTGGAAATTTCCTGTCTTGCCCATGTGTGTGATGTGGCCTCATTCACTTTGTGTTATTCCTAACCTGGTGTATTCTTTCTCCAAAGCAATTAGGCTTGGTCCTCAGTCACTAGAAGGTATTCCATATATGATCTATACTTACAGTTATTCAAGGGGGAAAAATTGGTGTGCAAAGAAACTGCATTAGATAGACTTCACTGTCAAGTGTAAATATGCCAGTAACTTACTGGCACAGAATAGGGAGAACTTTCTTAAAATAGATGTGTATAACCAGCATAATCAGCATGTTTAGCATAAATATAAATTTTCATTTCCTTTCTAATAAATATATTACTCATTGCTTCCCATGTAGAAAATAATTTATTTTATGTGATTTATATGTAAGATATTTTCCATGGTGGCAGAAAATAGAGGTAACAATTCCCAGCTTCTTCTTTCCAGTCCTTTCCCACCACTGCCTCTTTCCCAAATAAGCATTCCAGTTTGGTGTC